GGGCACTGTTAAGACTAGAGGTGACTGACACTTTGCCCTTACTTCCATTACCAGCTACATAAACAACAAATTGACATTGTTGAATTTGGTGACTTGCCAGAGGTGGTGTGTTTTTTTTATTTAAGAAAAACATTTTAAGAAATGGCATGACTAATTCTGAGCCTAAATGTACCTACAAAGATGAAACAATGATCTTTTGAAAAATACCAGCCTTCGAGGCAGAGCCCGTTGACTCCCTTCGGTGTGAAAGAAGTCCCTTTTCTTTCCCACGATGGTTCCTCCTTCAGCCCCTCCCCTTACACGTGAGTTCGGCAAACATCTACTTTGGGAGGCCACTTGGGAAGGGGACCTGGAGCATGGTCATGGTGCAAAAGGACACAGCACCTCGACCCAAGGGGCACTGACACAATTTCGTGGTAAAAGATGTTCACCAAGTAAGTACACACATAAACTTACAATTTCAAGTGTGGGATATGTCTCACCCAGCAATCAACATGCCTTGACAAACATCTATTTAGTATCTACCTCTATGCTGAGAGACTTTAGTTAGGATATATGGGGGTAAGTCAAAAAGGATGGCTATAAAGTCATAAAATACTAAAAATGATCAAAATGTGTTCCTTTGAAATACTCCTTGACTTTGGGGCACAAACAGAAACCCCAAGGGGCAATATCAGGGCTGTAGGATGGACAGGGTAAGGTTTTCCCCGGGGATTCTCAAAGGAGCGCCTCGACTACCCTCGAAGAGTGAGCAGCTGCACTGTCTACACGGAAAAGCATCCTCAGGACAACTGTCCGGCTCTTTTTCTTACCAAGGCAGCTTTCAATTTTTCTTAAAACGTCTCCCTAGGAAGCCCCTGGGTCATTAAAGAACATCTGTGAAGATGATGTCTTTGTCGCTGCTAAATGCCATGACCCAACTCTGACTCGTAGCAGCGCCAAACACAGGGAAGGAAGCACGGCCCAGTTCTACACCACGCACTGCACCCTCCCCACCCTTGTTATGCTTGAACCATTGTTGCAGCCACTGAGTCCATCCACCTCCTGGATGGTCTAGTTCCTCCTGGTGCCATGTCCAAACACCATGAGATGAGGGCTCACCATTGCTCACTTGTAAGGAGCATTCTGAGTTCTTCGGCATCATAATTCAAGTAAGTCCATTCTTACCCAGTCTGTTCATTGTCCAACTTCCACATGCCTATGAGGTGATTGAAGATGCAATGGTTTGGATCAGCCAGTCACGCCTTAGTCCTCCAAGACAGAATTATTGGTGCTTTTGACAGTCCATTGCTAGTTTCAATATTCTTCACCAGCACGATAATTCAGATGCAACTGTCCTCCTTTGGTTTCTTTAACATCCAACTTTGACACGCAGATGAAGCGATTGAAAACACCATGACTTGGAACAAGTGCACCTTAGTCCTCAAAGTAACACCCTTGCTTTTCCACATGTTAAAGAGGTCTTCTGCAGCAGATTTACCCAATGCAATATGTAGTTTGATTACTGCTGCTCCATGGTGTTATCTAATTGTCCAGTTGTGAGGATTTGGATTTACTTTCCATTGTAATCCATATTGAAGGCTGCAGTCCTTGACCTTCATTAGCAAGTACTTCAAGTCTTCATTACTTTTAGCAAGCCAAGGCTGTGGGAAGGTTGTGTCATTTGCATATGGAAGATGATTAATGAACCTTCCTCCAATCCTGATGCTAGTTCTTCATGTAGTCCAGTGTCTTGGATGATCTACTCAGCATGTAGATTGAATAAATACAGTGAAATAAATAAATGTACAATCCTGATGCATACTTTTCCAGATTTTAAATCATGCGATGCTTGCCTCCTTGCTCTGTGTACAGGTTCCGGATGTTGTAATGATCAACATAGTCGAATGTGTTGGTAGTCACGTAAACATTTTTTTTCCTGGTATTCCCTGCTTTCAGCCAAGACCCACCTGTCATCAGAGTGAAATCCCTTATTCTATGTCCCCTTCTGAATCCCGGTTGAATTTCTGGTAGATCCCTATCAGCTGGAACTACTGTTGAATGTTTTTCAGCAAAAGTTTATTGGCATGTGATACCAAAGATAATGATAATTCTCACACTTTCTGTGGTCACCTTTCTTTAGGTAGCTAGCTGTCTTCCAGATTTCTTGGCATACATAAGTTAGTACTTCCAGTACTTCGCAAGCTTGTTGAAACGTTTCAACCGGTATTCTGTCCATTGCTTTAACTTGGACTTCTTCCTTCGGTAACATCAGTCCTTGATCATATGCCAACTCTAGAAATAGTTGGATGTCAACGACTTCTTTCCGTACAGTGACTGTGTACTCCTTCCATCTTCTCTTGATGCTTCCTGCATCATTCAGTATTGGAACTCCAGTCTGAATGTGTTCTTCAATTCTTTCCGTTTGAGACATGCGGAGCAGTTCTTCCCTTTGGGCTATCCAACTCCATGTCTTCACACATTTCAATCTAACACCTTACTGTGTTTTCTTGAGCTGCCCTGTGGTATTTTCTAGTCAGCTCTTTGACTTCTTCATTTCTTCCATTTGCTTTAGCTAATACTCTATGTTCAAGAGCAAGTTGGAGAGTCTCTTCTAATGTGCACTGTGTTCTTTCCTTTCTTGTCTTTGTAATGACATTTGCTTTCTTCATGTGTGATGCAGTCATCCCACAGCTTTCAGGTCCTCTGCCATTCGTGTTCCATGTGTCAGAGCTGTTCTTGAGATATTCCGGGAACTCGGGTGGGGCATACTCAGGTCATAGTTGAGGTCTCATGGACTCGTTTTCATTTTCTTCAACTTCAACTTGCTCGGTGGTGGTGGTTTGAGGCTGTCGAGTTCGCGCCAACTCATAGGATCCTGCTTTACCACAGAGTGAAATGCTGCCTGTCCTGTGCCATCCCCACAACCGATCTACGCTGGGGCCATTGCTGCAGCCATCGTCGGCCCACCTTGTTGAAGGCCTTCCTCCTTTTTACTGTCCCCTCTCTGCTTTTCCAAGCATGATGTCCTTCTCAGACTCTGGTCTCGTCTGACAACGTGTGCAGAGTAAAGGACAAGAAGTCTTGCATCCTTGCTTCTCAGGAGTATCCTGCTGTACTTCAACTTGAGCTTACATATGAGCGATTGTTTGTTCCACAGTCCGCCCCTGGTCTCGTTGGAGCTGCTAATGTTGAGCTTCTCCATCATCTCTTCCCACAGATGTAGTCAATTTGATTCCCATGTATTCTGTCTTGTGAGGTCCATGTATATGTTCACTTTATGTTACTGGAAAAGGTATTTGCGGTAAATAATTTGTTATCTTGCAAAATTCTATCATGCACGCTTCAGCATCATTTCTATCACCAAAGTCCTATTTTCCAACTCCTGTCCCTTCTTCTTTGTTTCCAATTTTCACATTATAATCATCAGTAATTATCAATGCATCTTGATTGCATGTTTAATCAATTTCAAATTGAAGAGGTTGGTAGAATTCTTCAATTTCTTCATCACTCTCTTTAGTGGTCACTGCATAGATTTGAATAGCAGCGGTATTAACTGAACTCCCTGGTAGAGGCAGACATATTGGTCGATCACAGGCAGTGTTGTGCTTCAAAATAGATCTTAAAATAATTCTTTTTGATGATGAATGCAACGGCATTCCTCTTGAATCTGTCATTCCCCGCATAGTAAAGTAATGATTGGCTAATTTCAAATGGTCAGTGCAGACCATTCCAGCTCCCAATGCCTGAGACAGACCTTTATGTGTCCCTGTCGTCTTTTTACAACTTTGAATTTCTTAGACTCACACTTGGTACATTCCATGGTCTCATTGTTAATGGATGTGTGCAGCTGTTTATTCTCATTTTGAGTCAGGCCCCATCAGTAATTGAAGGTCCCAAAAGCTTTATTCCATGCATATCAACTTGAGGAGGCAGCTCTTCCCCAGGTGCATTTTGAGTGCTCTCCAACCTGAAGAAACTCATGCTGGCGCTGCAGCTGACAATATTTTGCTGCTAGTCATAAAGCTGTTCAGCAGCTAATTCCTCAGAAGAGGACAACCTAGACTTCTTCATAGTCTGTTTTTAGTCTGGAAGCTCTGCAGAAGCTGTTCACCTTGGGTGACCCTGCTGGCGATTT